CCTCTCCTCTTGATTCTCAGGCCTGCTCCCCGGCCAAGGATCCAGGGACAAGCAGCAGGATGGGGTGGGGCAGGAAAGAGTGGCCATATCTACTCGATAATGGGAGTCCTGGATTAGTCAGTCCCCTTTCCCTGAGCTTTGGAAACTCTTCAGCATCTACCCATCACCTAGACTGCTCTGAACCTTACGATGTTGCTTCCCCTCTACCCTGCTCCTCACTGAAGTTCCCTCCTGTGAGCAGGTACATCAGCCACCAGATACAAGGACCCAAGCCCAGCAGGCGCAGGATCTGCTGACACAGCTGGCAGCAGAGGTGGCTATTGATGACAGCGGGGAACAAGGAAGCCCAGGTAACTTCTCCACCTGGATTCCCCAGGGACCTGCCCCCCAACTCTTTCCCCAAGTAGGAAGGGCTCTGCTGCTCACCCTCTGGGATGCAAATATGAATCAGAGAACAATCAACATTATAAGCTATAGTTTACCCCAATAGGAGCCAGTATTACTGGTGGATAAGTGTGTGGGCTTTAGAATCCAACAGCGATTTCTAATTTTTTTTTTTTTAATTTGAGAGAGAGAGAGGGTAATGGATGGGGGAGAGGAGCTGAGGGAGAAAGAAAGAGGGAGAGAGAATCTTAAGCAGGCTCTATGCTCAGCCTGGAGCCCAACATAGGACTCAGTCCCACAACCCTGGGATTATGACCTGAATAAAAATCAAGAGTTGGATGTTCAATGGGCTGAGCCACCCAGGCGCTCCCAGACAGCAATTTCTTATTCTACCACTTAAACTAGCTCTGTGACCCTGGGAAATTTACTTGACCTAAATCTCACTTTCTTCATCTGTAAAATGGAGGTATGATAAAACCCACATCACAGGGAAGTCACAAGAAGTAAATGAGATTAGTAAGCACTTAAGACCTTGCCGGGTTCATAGTAAGTGTTCAGCAAATGTTCTTTGCAATGATGATGAGGATAAGGATGAGAAAGTGGCTATTTAGAATTAATTAAAATGAAATGAAATTTAAAATTCAGTTCCTCAGTGGTACCAGCCACCTTTCAAGTGCTACTGAACTACAATCTTAGCACAAATACAGATTGTGATATGGAATGCTTCCATTGTCATAAAGACTTCTATTGGACAGTGCTCTTCAAATGCAGTGAGTTCTCAATTAGGGATGATATTCCGTCCAGGGCCCATATAGCAACGTCTGGAGACTCTCAGGTTGTCACAACTTAGAGGGTACCACTGGCATCTAGTGAGCAGAGGCTAGGGATGCTGCTAAACATGATACAATGCACAGGACAGCCTTCACAACAAAGAATTATCCTGTCCAAAATATCAAAAGAACCAAGACTGAGAAGCTCTGCTTTGGAGACATAATCTCACTGAATACTCTCCATAATCCTATATATACTATTATTATCCATGTTTTATAAAATGAGGAGACTGAGGCCTGGTGAGCTTAAGGAAACTGACCACAAGTCTGTCACACGTATTAAGTGGCAGAGCTGGGACTTGAAACCAAAGCTGTCTGATTTTGAACCTCTTGGTCTGAAATGCTGATCTAACGGGAACCATGTCAGAGCCACACCCACCCTGGTAGAATTCCCCCTGCCGAGTCCCTTAAAAGGTCCCAGCTTCTCTCGTGTCCTCTCTGTGCTGCTCCCTGGAAGTGCTGATTCCAGCCTGTAAAGCAGAGAGACTGGCTGAGGCTTAGCTGCCCTGTTCCCTCATCTTTTGGGGCAGTGATGCTCATACCATGGGACACCTACTCTAAGCGCAGCATGTATAAACATCAGGAGTGAGAAGAGAGGTAGTTGAAAAAAACATGTCTAAGATTACTAGTATTTTACATTTGGAAAAATGGAGGACAGACTCATTTTATTTGTAATATAAACCACAGGAGCTAATGCTGAACAAAAAGCTGATAATATATGGTTTTATGGTTTTTAAAGAAAGTTGGGAAATGGGAGCACAGATATTGGAAAGTCTCTGCCTCCCTGACTACATCCCTCCTTCCAGCTGCCCCTATCCAGAATGACCTCAACCAAGGTGGCCCAGGGGGCCAGAGCACTAATTCCAAGGGACAGGCCACCTGGTCCCTGGAAGAGGAGAAGAGCAGGCTGCTGGCTGAGGCAGCGGTCGAGCTGCGGGAGGAGAACACAAGGCAGGAGAGGATCCTGGCCCTCGCCAAGCGCCTGGCCGTGCTGCGGGGACAGGACCCTGATAAAGGTAGAGGCTGGGAAGGAGCAACTCATTTATGTGCATTTATGTGCATTGGGCAGGCCCCCCACTCCCACCCCCAGGCCAAGCTCTACAAAATGGCTGTATTCCCTGCCACACTGAATCAGGTGCCAGGATTGCTATGTCCAGAGGTCTACTGAGCTCTACCCAGAGCCATGAGGAAGGTGCTGGGGCAAAGGAATAGATAGGGAATAAGTAGCAGCCATCAGGGACCCAGGGACCCTCAGTCCCTTCAGGTACAAATCATTCTGTTGCTGTCCCCCAGTCCTGCAGGGTGGGGCAGGGTGGGACAGGATCTGATGTGATCGTAGATGACAGAGCCTGCCCAGCTCTGGAAGATGTGCCCCTGGAAGGCAATCCAGCTCTTGCAGGCAAAACTACAGCCACTCAAGCAAACTCTTTCAACCTCACTCCTCCTCTCCTGCTCCTGTCATTCCCTCTCAAGTGACCCTCCAGAACTATCGCCTCCCAGACAGTGATGATGATGAGGATGAGGAGACAGCCATCCAGAGAGTCCTGCAACAGGTGGGCCCTGCCTTACCCAGCTGACCACCGCCCCCCGTCCCATCCTGCCTCACTGCCCCACCACCCACTTGGCCCTGTTCACCCTGCCTCTACTCTCTCATTGAATGGCCACTCTGCAGCTCCTGTTTTACCTGGCGCCCCACTGTCCCTATGACCCACTGTCCCTACTAGCCCCTTGAGATGGGGTATCAGCGGCCACAGGCCATAGATCAAGGGAGATGGGTTGAAAAGCTAAGGCCACAGAGCACAGAAATACTCATGGGGCAGGGGGTCAGGGTCCAGGCCTAGAACAGGAAGCTGCACCTCTTCGCCCTGTCCACAGCTCACTGAAGAAGCTGCCCTAGATGAGGCAAGTGGCTTTAACATCCCCGTGGAGCCAGCTCTCAGAGCCGGGGCCCAGGCCTGCAGGGCAGAGTCCAAGGTGAGAAAAGCCCCAGGCCGCTACCAAGGCCTCTCTCCCTGCCTGGCCGACTCTCCTATGGCAGTGTTCCCACACACCTCCCTTCCCCTATTCCTCTCTGCTCCTGGAAGGCCCAGGTCAAGGCCCCCAGGCACGAGGCTGAGGAAGAGGAGCTCCCCTGGTGCTGCATCTGCAATGAGGACGCCACCCTGCGCTGCGCCGGCTGCGATGGAGACCTCTACTGCGCCCGCTGCTTCCGGTGAGCGTGGGTGGGATGTTCTGTGTGGCTGGGAGAAATCACGGGCCCTCTCTGATCCCTGACCGGTCTCTCTTTGCTCCACAGGGAAGGCCATGATGCCTTTGAACTTAAAGAGCACCAGACATCTGTCTACTGCCCCCGGCACATAGGCCGAGAACACTGAGGAGACCAGGGAGGCAATTCCATGGGCAGTCATGCAGCTTGGTGCACAAGTCAGGCTAGGCTGCTCATGGACATGCCCTCTGCTGAGCCTCACTGTCCCTGGAAGGAGGAAAAGATTCTCCATTCAGGATGCCCTGGGGGAGCTAGAGGGAAGACAGAAGTCAGAAGCCCTCCAACAGCCAAGCCTCGACTGGGAGTGAGGCATGGTGAAGAAAAGATGAGACTGAACTAAGGGTGATGAGCCTTGGAACTTGCTCAAGGGCCCAGGGCCCTCCCCTGCACTTAATGGATCTAATAAAGAATGCTGATTCCTTGAGTCCAGCATGTCTTATCTCTAGATACCTCTGGGCTCTGAGCCTGGGCCCCTAGAGAGGTGGCAAGAGCAGGTCTTCCACTAGAAGTCCAGTCCTGTGGAGTGAGGAAAAAGGTTGGGCCATCCTGCAGGCTTCTCCAGGGAGGGACAGTCCCATCCACCCTGGAAGCCTCATTCGCAGTAGGCTTGGATATTCATTCAACTGATCTGAACTATGTGTCCTGTTCTGGGCAGCTCAGTGTCACCCCCCAGGCCCCACCATCTTAGATTCCTCAGCCTCCCCAGCTCTCAGACAGTGCTTGCTTGCACAAACAGTGGATGCATGCCCTGCTTCCCGCCTTACTCCCAAAGGATGCCACCTTCCCAGGCTCCTGTGCCAACCTGCCTGCCATTCAGACCTAGTGTCTTATTTCCAGCAACACCTTCCTGAACTGACTCCTGGCATCTCAACCTGTACCCTTTACACACCTCTACTTAGCTCCTGCCTTTTCTCTTTCTGCTGCTGGCTGGAGCCAGCTCATGATAGACCTCAGCCTTATGCCTCCTGAATCATTTAGGGGGAGAGGAGGACTTAGCTTTTCCTGATGTCCCCAGACCCAACTAGGTTTCCCCTATTACCTCTCCTCTGGGATTCAGAACTAATCTTTGCCACTTGGGCTCCTGTTGGTGATGCAGGATGCTGTGTGTCCTAATCTGGTGCCCTCTGCTTGGCCTCCAAGCCTTGCTAGATCATGAGTTCTAAAGCAGAGCTGGATGGATGGATGGATGGATGGATGGATGGATGGATGGATGGATGAGTGGATGAAGTATGGATAGAATCTGGTGACTCAGGATGCTAACCTAGTATATCACTTCACCCTCCCCTCCCCTATCCCTCAGGACAGATATGCTCCACACTCCATTCAGCTGGGGCTCCCAAAGGTTTTATCCACTTGGCTGCCAAGGAAAGTGCCGGGCAACAGCCATGAATGGTTTCCCGAAAGCCTGCTGACAGGAACCAGCCGTAACTACACATACACTAGAGGTGTCCAAATGTCCCTCCTCCTCTTTCACATTCCTTGTCTTTGTCCCAAGGGACCGTTTCCCTTTCAGCCCAGGATTCTGAGGTTCAGGGCAGGCCTGGCAGTGCTAAGGCTGCTGAAGGTAGTCTCACAAGGCTTATTTCTGAGGCCGACTGAGTCTCCGGAATTTCTTGAGTTGACTGAGCAACTCAGAGATAAAAGGCTGAAAGAGAAACAGGGATGAGATCAAGGCACGGGGCCATGCCCACCCACCACACTGCCCTTCTTAATCTCCCCCGAACCCATGTCTCCAGAGCTGGGGAAAGTGAGAAAGACCTAGGGCTAAGTCTTCCTCTCAAATACTCTTCATTAGCTGCTCCCCTCTAGGCCCCTGTGACCCCCCAGAGCAGCATAGCATCCCTTACCTCTGTGGGGCGGGGGCAGTTCTGGAGAAGGGCCTGGTGGAAAAGAGCAGAGAGTGAGTTCCGGAGCCACAGCACTTTCCCACAAGCCTCCACTCAGCTTCCCAGGAATCCTCTCTGCTGAACTGGTTCTCCCCATGCCACTCAAGGAGGCAAAACCAGGTTCCTGGGCTCCTCCCACTCTAAGCTCAGCTTCCACCCCACAACCCCAGGCCCACATTCTACCTCCAAGTGAGTCTTCTGTTCCTCTGTGGATAGTTCCATGAGAGCCTCCAGGTCAATCTCGGACTCAGGAGGAGTTGGTTGACCCTGTGTGGGAATCACATGGGGCTCAGAGGGGCCTGGCCAGCTGGTGCCGGAGGAGGTGAAAGTTACTGTCAGAGGGTCATCCATCTCCTACTCTACCTCCCACGTTCAGTCTGTCTCCTCACCCTACCTCAAACCACACATTCATTCTGCCATTCAACACTTCCTGAGTACCTACTATCTTCTATCTGAAACAGGTTCTTTAAAAAGAATGCCTGTTCAGGGCACCTGGGTGGCTCAGTCAGTTAAGCATCTGACTCCGGCTCAGGTCATGACCTTACAGTTTGTGGGTTCGAGCCCCACATCAGGCTCTGTGCTGACAGCTCAGAGCCTGGAGCCTGCTTCAGATTCTGTCTCAGCAGCGCCCCCCCCCCATCTCTGCCCCTATCCTGCTCATGCTCTGTCTCTCTCAAATACAAATATTTAAAAAAATGTTTTTAAATAAAAAGAGTGCCTGTTTAATTTCAAAGGTGTATGCATATTGTTGGTAAGGATCTAAAATGGTATAGCTGCTTTGAAAAACAGTTTGGCAGTTCTTTTTTATTTGTTTTGAGAGAGAGAGAGAGAGAGAGAGGCAGGCAGGCAAGGGCAGAGGGAGAGGAGCTAGAGAATCCTACTCCTAGGTCTACTCCCAAGAGAAATGAAAATACGACCACACAAAAATTTGCATGACTATTCATAGCAGCATTACTCATAATAGCCAAAAGGTGTAAACAACACATATCTCCATCAACTGATGAATGTATAAATAAATATAATGTAGCCATACAATATTGCTCAGCAATAAAAGGAACACAGCATTGATTCATACTACAACATGGATGAACCTTAAAAATATTATGCTAGTGGAAGAACCCAGTTACAAAAGTCCACATACTATGATTCAATTTGTATGAAATGTCCAGAATAGGCAAATCCATAGAGATACAAAGTAGATTAGTGGTTGCCTATGGCTCAGCGTGGCAGTGGTAAGGAATGAGGTATGACTGCTAATTGATACAGGATTTCTTTCTGGGGTGATAAACTGTCCTAAAATTAAATTGTGGTTGTATAACCCCAAAGATACTTAAATCTTTTGAAGTGTATACTGCAAGTGAGTGATTGTATGGTATGTGAGTCATGTCGTAATAAAGCTGTCTTTAAAAGTTATTACAGTCAGGGGCACCTGAATGGCTCAGTTGACTGAGTGTCCAACTCTTGATTTCAGCTCAGGTCATGGTCTCGTGGTTCGTGGGTTCGTTCCCTGCATCAGGCTCTGCTCTGACAGTGTGGAATCTGCCTGGCATTCTCTCTTTCTCTCTCTCTCTCTCTCTCTGCCCCTCCCCTGCTCACACATGCAGGTGCGCTCTCTCTCTCAAAATAAACTTCAAAAAAAAAAAAAGAGTTATTATAGTCAGTAAAATAATTTAAACAATACAGGGTTTATAAAATTAAAAACGAAAGAAGGACAAGAAAATGAGAAAACAAGCTACAGACTGGGAGAAAATATTTGCAAAGGATGTATCTGATAAAGAACTATTGTCCAAAATAGAAAAAGAACTCTTAAAACTCAAAAATAAGAAAGGAACAACCCAGTTGAAAAATGGGAAAAGATCTGAACAAATACCTCCCCAAAGAATATGTGCGGATGGCAAATAGCACATGAGATGTTCAACATCATATGTAATTAGGAAATTGCAAATTAAGACAACAATGAGACACACCGCATACCTACAAGATTGGCAAAAAAATCCAAAATGCTGACAACACTGAATGCTGATGAGGATGTGGAACAAGAGGAACCTTCATTCAATACTGGTAAGAATGCTAAATAGTACAGTCGCTTGGGAAGGCATTTTGGCAGTTTCTTACAAAACTAAACACACTCTTACCAAATGATCCAGTCATCAAGCTCCTTAATATTTACCCAAGTGAGCTGGAAACATATCCATACAAAAACCTGCATAAAGATGTTTATAGCAGCTTTATTCATAATTGGCAAAACTCCAAAGCAACCAATATGTCCTTCAGTAGGTAAATGGATAAATTAACAGTGGCACATCCAGACGATGGAATGACTATTCAGCACTAAAAGAAATGAGCTTCAAGCCATGAAAAGACTAAATGAAGTGTAAACACATAGAATAAGTGAAAGAAGCCAATCTAAAATTGGCCAGTCATACATATTGTATGATTCCAATTATACAACATTCTGGAAGATGCAAAACTTGGAGACAGTAAAAAGATCAGTAGGAATAAAGGGGAAAGTGGGATATACAGGTGGAGATCAGAGGATTTTTAGGACAGTGAAGATACTCTGTATGATACCATAATGGTGGCTACCTGTCATTACACGTTTGTCCAAACCCTTAGAATGTACAACGCCAAGAATGAACCCTAATATGAGCTAAAGAGTTTGGGTTATTATGATGTGTCAATGTAGGTTCATCAGTTGTAACAATGTACTGTGCTAGTTGGGGATGTTGATAATGGGGGAGACTATGAGTGCGTGGGGATGGGGGGAACATGGGAACTCCCTGCTCAGTCTTCCTGTGAACCTAAAACTGCTTTAAAAATGAAGTCTAGGGGCGTCCAACTTCAGCTCACATCATGATCTCGCAGTTCATGAGTCTGAGCCCTACATTGGGCTCTGTGCTGACAGCGCAGAGCCTGGAGCCTGCTTCAGATTCTGTCTCCCTCTCTCCCTGCTCATACTTGGTCTCTCTCTCTCTCTCTCTCTCTCTCTCTCTCTCTCAAGTAAACACTAAAAATTAAGTCTATTAAAAAAAAGAGAGAGAGATACGGGGTACCTGGGTGGCTCAGTTGGTTAGGTGTCTGACTTTGGCTCAGGTCATGATCTTACGGCTTGTGAGTTCGAGCCCTGTGTTGGGCTCTGTGCTCACAGCTCAGATAGAGCCTGGATCCTGCTTCATATTCTGTTTCTCTGTCTGTCTCTGTCCCTTACCCTTTCATGTTCTGTCTCTCTCTCGAAAAGAAACAAACATTAAAAAAGAGAGAGAGATGTGAAGTCAATGTCCAAGGTTTAATAAACATAGTGATTTTTTTTACTGCTTTATCAAGGACTTTCTTAAATGAAAGTGGCATGGTGATGAAGAACATGACTCCTTGCACAGGTTGGAGTCACTTTTTTTAAAGTTTGTTTTTTTACTTACTCTCTACACCCAACATGGGGCTCGAATTCATGACCCTAAGATCAAGTCTCATGCTCCACCAATTGAGCCAGCCAGGTGCCCCTGGTGCCACTTTCTTGATTCACACTAAGGGTCACCATTGTTTTTGCATTATCAATATAAACACCAGCATAGTGAAAAAGGCAAATGACATCTCAGTATCATTATGAAAATAACCAGGAAACTTCTGAAGGGGTCTTAGAACCGGAATTCACTTCAACTGCTGCCTTATTCATTTTTTTACTGGGTTATTCAGTTTTTTCTTACTGATTTAAGAAATCTTTTTTTTTAAACTTAGATTAGCCCTATCATTCATTCTACATATGATGGAAATTTATGTGTGGGGAAAGGGTTGGTGAAATATATGTGTTCATATAGCTAAATGTGACTAATAGTATTTTCCAGTTTGGGGGTTTAATTTTTTTAAATTTTATTTTAGAGAGAGAGAATGAAAGCAGAGGAGAGGGGTAGAGGGAGAGAGACAATCTCAAGCAGGCTCCACACTCAGCATGGAGTCCAAGGTGGAGCTCAATCCCATGACCCTGGGATCATGACCTGAGCCAAAATGAAGAGTGGGACACTTAACCAACTGAGCCACCCAGGTGCCCCTCCAGTCTGGGTTTTGCTGTTTCTTCTCCTTCTCCTTCTTCTAAGGCTTAGCAAGTTCTTCTCATACTGATTTGAATAAATAATTGATATTCATTTTTACATTTTATAGAGGTTTGATTATTTAACCCTTTTGATGTTGTTTATTTATTTATTTTTGAGAGAGAGAGAGAGAGAGAGACAGAGAGAGAGAGACAGAGACAGAAATAGAGACAGAGAGAGAGAGCAAGTAGGGAAGAGGCAGAGAGGGGGTGAGAGACAGAATCCTAAGCAGGCTCCGTGTGATGAGTGCAGAGCCTGATGCAGGGCTTGAACCCATGAACTGTGAGGTCATGATGTAAGCCAAAAGAGAAAATTGGACACTCAACTGACTGAGTCACCCAGGTGCCCTTGATTATTTAATACTTTAAGACCTATTTACTCAACAAATACATGTTCAGTGACTACTATTATTAACCTGGCACTGTGAACTTGGGAGTTTCAGTGAACAAAACAAAAATCTTGTCCTCAAAGAGCCCATATATTAGATGCAGTCGAGGAGACAAACAGAAACATATGTAATAAGTAATTAAGCTGTATAATTTGTTTAATGTTATTTGGGGGACTTTTTGGATGGTGGAAATGTTCCATATTTTGATTGGGGTAGTAGTGGTCACATACGAAAAAGTGCATCCCAGTGTACACTTCAAATTTTATTCTCTGTCAGTTATACCTCAATAAAGTTGATTCTTTTTTTTAGGTTAAGAAAACAGAAAAAGAAGTCTCACCTGCCCTCTCCTTCCTCAACTGCTAGCAGGTAACCACAGTTAACAGTTTTGGTCCTTCCATGCCTTTTTAAAAAATTATTTATTTATTTATTTATTTAAGTTTTCCTTTATTGATTTTGAGAGACACAGAGAGATACCATAATGGGGAAGGGGCAGAGAGAGTGGGAGAAAAAGAATTCAAAGTAGGCCCGATGCTCAGCACAGAGCCTGATGTGGGGGTTGATCTCATAAACCATGAGATCATGACCTGAGCCAAAATCAAGAATTGGACGCTCAACTGACTGAGCCATCCAGGCACCCCTCCATGCATTAAAAAAGAAAAAAATAGTGCTAGGGTTCTAAGTTCGCTTTTTCACCCTAAGGTCTAGACTTTCCCTGTTACTTCCTTAGTTTCTAGCTCATTGATTCAGCCTTCATTCATTTAATGCATATTTACTGAGTGCATGTTATGCACCAAGTA